CATACCAGGAAGATATCAATAAATTCAAGCTAATGGCTGTTTAAAGCAACGCGTTCCAGTTCTGCTTTAAAGAGAAGCTACCCAGGCCAAGATAAGGTAGCATATTCTGGGTGAAGTCATTATACAGGTCACCATTCCCTTAAAGAAATAGCTTTATAGTCTTCAGCTGCTTTCTCTCCTCAGTAATAAAACAAAAAAGATACAAAAGTAAGTGGTCTGTTGGCTAAATATGCAGATGGCAGTGCATTACAGTTAGCTGTGGAGAAAGTCACCTGCCAAGAGATTGAGACATTAGGACATTTTCGAAGATGCTGTGTGCTAAGGAATTGACATATTCTTCTCCCAGCAGCCATGACTGACCAGTTTGAGTGGATTTCTCATTCGAATCTTTGGATGAAGGAGAGAGCTAAGGAACATGGGGGAGTGGTCTCTATTATTTATTTTCTCCTCTAATAATTGAGAACTTGAAATTTAATGAAAATCAAGACTATCTCTTAGTAAGTCATAAGCCATTTTTGCTAATGTAAAAAAAAATATGTACTTACCAAAATCTGGCATTGATCATTTGCTTTCTGTTGCTAAATCTAAACTAATAGTGATATGAAGATGGATAAAAGATAATTTAAATGATTTCAATAAGACTAATGCATAAGATTCCAAGTTCTACGACATTTAATGACAAAGGCACAGCATCAAAATGATAATTAGGGGACAGGACCTAGATGTTATGGATGACGTAGTAGTGTAAGTTCACATAAAATGGTATTCCTAGTCTTAGTATTAATTTTCCATGATAAAATATTTGACTTTTTATTTGGATGCAGAACACATAAAACCTTGAACCTTGTTTCACAAACTACAAAGCTGCTATTATGTATTTTAGATAATTTTCTTACATTTCCCACAATTATAAATTTCTGTTCCTTTTGTGATATTATGATGTACAAAGATATGGCAAAACATTTGAGTATATCCCTCCTCCTTGTTCTCTTTCTATGATAATTATTTTGTGTTGTTATGCGACTAAAAAATTTAATTACTAGAGCACCACATTCCTTCCATATGTAAGAGTGTGTATCTTTACATGGCTGTTTTGAAATCATTAAAGAAAGCAACTGTTTACTTTTCAGTAAGAAAAATTCACCTTAAAATGTTTTACTCTGATTATTCACATAACTGTGAGAAAGTGTTGATTTAAAAAAATAAAAGGGAATTTTTTCAAATATCTACTCGCTTGAATTATAGAAATCTAAGCACACATTTTTATTTTAATGTCATAAAATTAGTGCTTATTTAAGTTCCTAAATATTTCATCACTCATGTAAATGAGCTGTTATAAGAACATTAGCATCATCAATTTAAAAATGTATAACCTGATAGAATTCAAAATAAAATCTCTGTTATTTTACATTCAAAGAACAGAAATTTTTCTCAGTATAACTTCTTCATGCCTCTCAATTTAGTTGGGTGATGATGAAAAACAAAGCAATTCTTTAGAGGCATTTGTACCATTTTTTGAAAGAAGAAATTTTATATTACATGAACATTATAATTCTGCAATATCTTCTTGACATAGATTTATTTCCAGTTTAGAGGTTTTGGATGGAACAAAGTTAACAGGTATTAAATAGGCTCAATAAGGTAGTGGTAATGTGGTCAAAAATAGATTGAATGTTTCAAAGCATACTGGAAGGTCAAATGTATATATGAGGAAAGCACACAAGGGTATATATGAAGTAAAGGAGAAGTAGTATTAGGTACAGGGAGAGCTGACTCTGGCAGAACCTGGAGAATGGATGAAGTACATCATGATGTGTGGAGCTATGAAGTGAGTTAAACTGGAATACTGAAATTCTGTAGATGGAAATTTTCCCTTAACTCAAACAAACCAAAAGCCTATAAAGAACTGTCTTCCCTCGGCACTTACCGATAAGCAAAAATTAACATAAATAAATAAAAAACTAACAAAAAGTGTGTCTTTTTTTTATCTAGAGAAATTGAACTTCATATCTGGAGAGAACCACAGCCCTTGGCGTGAGTACATCAGAACAAAGCCCTCTGAATTTGAAGGTATCTTTCAGCAGGAGAGTCAGTTCTCTGCCTAAGCACATAGAGTAAAATCCCAGTCAACAAGACCTACCCAGGTACTCACAGATCTCAGTTTTCTATTTTCTCATTATTATATATAAATAGATACAAGATCACCAATGATGTGAGGAAAGTTTACAGTCTCAAAAGAGAAGACGACAAGATAACAAACTCCTTGAAAGACACAAGTTACACAAGATGACACACAAATAAAAAAAATTCTATATCTATTAAATAAATTAAATCCATTATTAAACGAAGCTGATGAAGTTCAAATTTTTGATCTGGATGGTAGATGTAAGAGTGTTAACCTTATAATGATTCACTAAATTATACATTTGTTTTGTGTGGTTTTTGTCTCTTTTACTTTATAATAACAATTTTTAAATTTATGCAGGCAAATCTATAAAGACAAATTAGATTACTAGTTGCTGAGGACTATGATAAACTGAGAAGTAACTGCTAATTGGTACAGGGTTAATTTTTGGAGTGATTAAAATATTCTATTGAAAAACATTCACCACATTCACACAAAAAGAGAAAAAAGTACAATAATTTTAATAAATGCAGAGAAAGGCCTTGACTATGTTCAATACCTACTGACAATAATAAAAAAAGAATAAAATTGGAATAAAGAGAAATTTCTTCTGAGTTAGAAGGCAAACGTTTCTACAAAAAAATTCACATTTATTGGTAAATATTGAAAGCTTTCCATTTGAGAAAGGAAATGAGACAAGACTTCTCATTATCAACACTTCTATTTAACATTGTTTTTGAGGTCCTAGTCTACACAATGATTAAACAAAAGTTAAATTATGAGGATTGAAAAGAGAGAAACTGCTTCCATTTGATAACAAGATTATATGCATTAAGAAACCCCAAAGAGTCTACAAACTTATTAAAAAGTGAATTTAAAGGCCGGCATGTTGGCTCATGTCTGTAATCCTAGCACATTAGGAGGTCAAAGTGAGAGGATTGCTTGAGCTCTGAGTTCGGAAGTTCGAGACCAACTTAGATAATATAGCCAGACCTTTTCTCAAAATAAAAAAAAAAAAAAGAAAAGAAAAGAAAAGAAAAAAGAAAGCCAGGTGTGGTGGCACATGTCTGTAGTCCCAACTACTCAGGAAGCTAAAGCAGAAGGATCACTTGAGCCCAGAGGTCAAGGCTGCAGTGAGCCATGATGATGCCATTGCACTCTACCCTGGGTGATAGAATGAAATTCCAACTAAAAAATAAAAAAAAGTGATGTCACTGAATTTGTGTTTACTATGCAAAAATCAATTATATTTTTATAGACCAGCAACAAAGAAATAAAAATGAATCACACTTATAATCAAAACATTAAATATCTGGTATTAAATCTAATAAAACATGAGTAGAATTTCTGGACTGTAACCACAAAAAAGTACTAAAAATTTGTTAAATGAGATTTAAGTAAATGGAGGGATATACTGTATTCATGGATGAGATGAGTCAGTATTGTAAACATGGTAATTGATCTTCAAATTCACGCAATTTCAATTAATATCATGGCAGACTTCATGTAAATATTGACAACATGGCTTTAAAATTTATTCAGAAAACCAAAAATGAGCAAAGCAATTTTAACCAGAAGAACAAAGTTGGAGGTTCACACTACCAGATTTCAAATTTTTAAATAAAATGATTGTAAATTAACATACAATAGAATATTTTTCAGTCATAAAAAAGGATTAAAGTTCTGACACATGCTACAACGTGGTTGAATGTTGAAAACAAAATGTTGAGTGAAATAAGTCAGACATAAAGGGATAAATATTGTATGATTCCATTTCTCTAAAAGATCAAGAATAGGCAACTTTATGGAAACATAAAGTAGACTAAAAGTTACAGGAAACTAAGGAGAGAAATTAGTGCTTAATAATGGTAGAGTTTCGGGTTGAGTGATAAAAAATGTGGAGATAAATGGTGGTGATAGTTGTAATAAACACCACTGATGTGTACACTTAAAATGGTTAAAATGATAAATTGCATGCTATATATATATATATATATTTTTACCACGATATTTTAAAAAGAAATATCCCCAAACAATTTGAGAGTTCAATTTAAATGGGTGATTTTGATGGTATGTGAATTACATCTCAGCAAAACTGTTTTTTTTAAAAAAAGGATTGAAATGAAACCACTGTGCAAGTACAAACATAATCAAATGAAAGAGTATACAGAATCCAGATACAGATTCACACATACGAGTTCACTTGATTTATGACAAAGGTGCCATGGCAGTACAGTAGGGGAAATTATTGTCTTTTAATAAATATTCCTGGATAAATTGAGTTGCTTTTCATTATAAATCCATAGGCATCAATTGCTTTTAAAGAATAAGCATGTATTCATTTTATAAATATTTAAAATTTTAGATTTTAAAAGTATCCAAGAGGAAAGATAAAGAATCACAAGTCAAATGAATAAGTTTAGATAAGTAAGTAAATAAATAAAGTGCCTTTTGGAGAGGGTTAGCATGCATTAATTGTTGATGAAGTCTATACTATGAGTGTGAATAAGTAATTTAGATTTATAATACTTGTTGAGCTATCCAGCTAGACCACCTTCATTTTGCTTAAATACTGTCAATATGCACATACTTGACCACCAAATTAATTATTTCATCATTTTTTCAATCTAATTCCTTACAATAATTTATGCAAAGAAATAATGGTGTATTTGTTGGCATTAATGTAAAATCACCTACCATCACCATATGTTCTATTCACAACAAAACATATAACCAAATCAAATGGTCAAGTTAAAAAAACAAAACAAAACAATCCACATACCATCTTCCTCGCCCACCAATAAAGCACCCAGGACACCAAACAAACACTTGCAATATTTAACACATGTGATAGAAGGGATGGTTAATCTCTAACCTTTATCCACTGGAGATTTGTCTTCTTTAGCTTATTTTCAAGTTTATCTTGCTCTTCTGGGCTTATGGGAGCACTTACAAGTGCTGTTCCTCCGGTCTCATTTAATTGTTTTAGAATTCCCTGGCGCAGGGGCAACTCTTCTGCCAGTAACTGAAACAGACAAATGAAACAACATTTAAAATGAATTACAGCACTATTCCAACTACCTTGTCTTTGCTTCTATTGATTAGTCTATCAAAATGAAGTGACTTGACCGAAGGCTCAGTGGTACCTCAAATACCAAGTTTTTCATAGAGCACAGAGCTGATGGACTGAAACACTCACTCCCCGTAGATAAATCTTCCTAGAAAGGACCAGATTATTTTATCCCTTAGAGATTTATTTCAAGAGAAAAATGTTGGATGGTAAAGTAACACTCCAAACAGAATTAGAATCTGAAAACTTATCTCTATCAGAAATAGAACAATCTGCATAAATTCATCGTCCTTTCGAGTACCACAGTATGCCACTGAATAAGAAATTGCATTATCATCTTAAGAGATAACTAACATTGAGAGTATTCACTCTCAGTATGCACAGTGCCAGACACTGTGCTAAACTATTTACGTATATTATCTCAGTTTGTCTTTATGCCATAAGATTTGTATTAGGTAGATCTTATTATCTTCATTTTATAAAGAAGAAAACTGAAACAGAGTGGTTACATATCAGCTCCAAGGACATAAAACTAGCAATCAATAGTGCTGCAATTCAAACGTGGTCAGTTTCGTTCCAAAATCCTTATTTGTGACTTTTCCACATCCCTGAATTTCTCTTATTCATTTAGCATCACACCATGTATGCCCTTTCCAAAAATCTACAAAACTACCATGATGCCAATAACTAGACTTGGTTATGTCATCTACAGTTGCAGTGTCCAATGCAGTAATCACTGGTCACATGACACTATTTTCATTTAAATTAATTAAAATTCAATAGTATACAATCTCAGTTTCTGAGTCATACTAGCCATCTTTAGAGTATACAAAAGGCTCAGGGGCTAGTGGCTATAAAAATGGATAGTGCAGAATGTTTCCATCACTACAGAAATTCTATTGGACAGAATTGATCTACATTGTCTAAGGAGAATAGAAAATCAATGCATTTTATTAACAAGCAAATGCTACTCAATATGTTTCTTAAATTATCAATTATATTGCTATATATGATACTCAGTACCTTTAGAAAAGATAAATTTCCAGGAATAGTCTAAGTTCATTTTTCTAGTGTATAATCATCTTTAAATGATTCCCAAGCATTTTATTTTTTTGAATTTCATATACCTAGGACATCTGCTATATAGTAAGTGCTCCATACTTGTTTATTGAATTAAACCATATTTAATTTGTATATCTTATCTCTTGTTCTGCTGCAAATTTTTTTGTTTCAAAGAAATAAATGGTTGAAACAAGACTCTGATGGTTTACACATGTAAACCAACTAAGTCATTGATAAAGGAGCAATTCCTTGTCCCTTTGTTTATGTGACCTTGTAAAACGAGGATAACAGCAAGCATTTTGAAAGTTTGTTATGAAGATGAAATAGTGGATATAAATGTATCTGATATCTGGCTTATAATAGAAGATGGTTAAATATTAACTTCCTTTCCCCTTTCACCTTCCCTTCAACAATGAATAAAAAACAGATAAAAAAGAGTTGTTTTACTAAAACTAAAACCATAAAAGTTAACCCAACTGCACAATCAGAGCATGTCAGTCAGCCAGGTGAGATGATCAGAATAAGCAGATATTATAGTAGGAAGGCATGAAAAACCACTTGAATAAACTGGATGTCTATTTAACCAGTATGGAATGCGAACCAACACTACTTCCCCCACCCCCAGACTCATTGCTTCAGACAAACATAATGTCTTTACTTGGAGGTTGAAGTAGTGGGATTAATTTGGCATTTTAGATTTTTCCTGAGAAATAGCATTAATTTTTAATAGACTCTTTCCAAATCTGCATGTACCAAGCCTTAGATAGACTGAAAAAGGGATTTGCATTTAGATCTAGGTTTTATAATTCCACAACTTGTTCTTCAGTTTTTAGAATTATTTGAAGTTGTAGAATTCTTTGTTTTTTTTTTGTTTTTTTTTTGAGTTGGAGTCTCATTCTGTCGCCCAGACTGGAGTGCAGTGGCCGCTCCCG